TATGGTTTTCCACGAGCTGAATGACAGAGGAATCGGGGTTCGATACCTGGCAGAAGTACAGATCTTTCCGAGGTTCACGCGGCCGGGCCGTGAGGCTGACAACTCCCCTCTCTTTCGTACTTAGATTAAGAATGTGTGGAGCTATTCCTTCACTCCCCCATACATCTTCATGGCGTATTGTGTAACTGAGAAGACTGGAATTAAATTGAAATAAAAGTAAAGGGGGGGGGGAAATTAGAAGTGGAAGAAAAGACTGACGGAAAAAGGAAAGAAGAAAACAAAAGAAAGTAGATAAAAAGAAAAGGAAATGAAGACACTAGGAAGATGAAAAGAAAGAAATTAATGAAGGAAGACAGGAAGGCAAGAGAAAGTAAACAAGAACTAAACAAATAAGGAAGTAAAGAAATATAGGAATAAGGAAACAAATACAGAGAGAATTAATGAAAGTGTAGGAAAGAAAATGAAAACAGAATATGAAAAATAGAGAAACAAATAAAATAAAAAATTAATGAAGAAGTAAAGGAAGAAGGATGCAGAAACAACTAACGAAATGAAGACGTCAACAACGAGAGAGCGAGAGAGTACTGAACGGGAACTGGATTAATAAGAACATCGCAACTGTGACCCTTTACCTCCTCCTCCTATCCATGATTTCTTCTCACTATTTTTATTCTTTTTCCTCTCCTTCATTCTTCGTCATTTTTTTTCACCCTCATTCGTCTCTGCTCTCCCTCTGTTGAGCTGGAGTGCAGCACCGTACCCAGCCCTCTAGCAAAAGCAAGCAGCTAACGAACTGTTGCGAAATAAACCAAGAAATTAGGGAGAAATTTGACAGAGAGACGTCATCTAGGTACATATTCCGCTCTTGCAGTCTTGTCGGAAGATGCAGATAAAAGTGATCACATCGAGCGATTTTGTTTTCTGCACCACAAACGAGAACATTGGAAAGGAATTCTGTATTGTTTAATGTATATCATCTGTAACGTGTTGGGTCATATCACCAGAAGGGATCACATGCCCCAACAACATGCAGACAGATTGGAATGCAGACGGTTTAACCAATCTAGGCACTTAAAATTTCTCTGCGAATTCCTCGCTACTTCAGTGGATGACCACCAGGAGGTGTTAACATGTTTCCGAACAGTATTCGACCTAAATGAAACTTTATGCAAGGAGCAAGGAACTTCTTGCTAGGCATGCTCTTTGACACTGAAGGTGGATGCAGTCGGTAAACTCCTACCAGACTACACGCCGTCCCACAACTGACACGAGAGCCTCAAATCTAAAACTTTCTTAAATTTGTGTCTTCGTGTATTTAAAGATGCTGTTATTCACGTCACCGCCATCTGTCAGCTAATTGTCTAGAAAATTTGGGAGCCTCGACGTCTCACTACCTTATGGTCCTCCACGGCCTGTTACAGAGATAGCTTTTTTATTCTTCGAATGGTAAGGCGATTAGTGGACAACGAAACAGGAAGACTGTGGTGTAAAATTTTCGTTGACTAATTTGAAAATTTTCTCTGGATTATTTCTAGAGAGACTGAGGAAAACCCGAAATATATAGTAGGTCTTGGAGTAGAGATTTTATACAGGACCTTCCGAATAAAAAGTAGGCCACCTTGATGTCAGAAATTTATTTCTCTCTAACAATGGAAATTTTGAGTTAAATTTATAAAACTTTTTATGATTAAACTTGGCCGCGCCATAGCTCAAGCGGTTAGTCGCTGGCTTCCCACCGCGGCCGCCCGGGTTCAATCCCGGGTCTGGTCAAGTGGAATTTGTAGTGGACAAAGTGGCGCTGGGGCAGGTTTTCTCCGAGTACTTCGGTTTCCCCTGCCAATCCTCATTCCACCAATTGCTCTACAATCACCCTCACCTATCATCTGGGGCTGGTACAATAGGCCAGAAATGGCCGCAGTACAAGGGACTTAGTCCCACCCCACTAGCATAAAAAAAAAGATTAAACTTAGCTTCGAAGAGGTTGCTTAATGATTTCTTGCTGGAAAATAGGACGAAGAAACAGACGCCTTGAGCATGAGGCTCGCCTCGGCAACACAGCAAAATCAGTTCTTACCTCACAGGAAGCACCGCGTGTCCTTTAGGAAACAGCGGCTTAGCTCTGTGTTACGAAATTAAGCATTTGTTTGATGTGAGGAACATAAATGCGTGACGTACAGAAGATGTAACGATTTTGAATCCTGAAGCGGGTATAGGAACGTTTTGTAAAGTACTTTAGTGCTCAGGAGAATATTTTGGCCTAACAGTGAGAAAATAATGAGGCTAAAGAAAACTGCATAATGAGGAGGTTCATAATTTGTATTCCTCGCGAAATATTATTAGAATGATCAAGTCAGATAGGAAGAGGTGGGTAAGGCATGTAGCACGCATGGAAGAGGCGTAGTAGGAAAACCTGAACGAAAGAGATCTGTAGATGAGAGAATAACATTATCATGGGGCTTAATGAATTAGAATTGGAGGGTGCGGACCGGATTAATCCGGCTCGAGGTAAGGACCAGTGACTGACTGTTGCGATGACGGTAAAGAACTTTCACATTCTATAGAATATTGGGAATTTGTTGATAGGTGAACAGCTATGAGCCTGTCAACAATGACAGCTGTAAGCAGTTAATTGAAACAGGTGGTATATACAGTGAAAATGTACTTTAAAATGTTAATGGTTTGTTGGATTTGAGGTTCTCACAGCTGTGACTATGAAGTGACGTCGGGTATTACTGTAAAAATCTGCCGACGTTTCGGATAGATGTGCTGCTTGCATGTTTAGAGCCAAAGAGGCCCGGCAAGGTCGGTTTCTTTCATGAGTTACGCTACGATTTTGAAAATGAGGCAGCAAGTTCTTCCGAAACGTCGCTGGATTATGAGTGCCGTTCAAATTATTTCGCTGTTACTCTTTCCATGACATTCTTGTCCTACAGTAACGTCCAGCGCGTTATTCAACACATGAATTCTGATTTCGCCGTTTCATTGCGCCAAATATTCACACGACTCTGTATCATGTTGAACATTTTGCACATAACATTCACAATATGTCTGTGATACGGATCTGATGAAGTTTAGACTGTGATCTCGATATCCAAGGGGCTGTGAATGAAGGCGTAGCGAGAATTTAACCTCAGATGGCGACCTCGGCTCTTGGGTCTCTGCAATTGTTCCACCAGCCATGACGGATTGCGGCTCTCTTAGCGTTCCAATGGGCCGTGGAAAATCGAATCATCTATTCTCATGCCCTAACTATTATGTACTATAAGAGATGATTGATTGCTGGATCGATAGGTTTGGTCAAGGGTAATCCTCAAGAAAGAGATACAAGAATGATGAAGATGGCGCGCATGTTGTGTTGCTCTATATGATTGCGCAAGAGTGATAGTGTTTTGTGCTTGAGTGTCGTAAGTCCAGTTTTCCTTGCAATGGGTTTGACTCTTATTCAGGAGGTTCTCTGTTTGAATCTCAGGACGGGACACCGGCTATCCTGATCGAGAATATGTCTTCTTCAGTCCCTCCAGGATTCGGAGTAATCTTCTGTCTCCATCATCAGGGTAAAATCTTAATTACCTTGTTACCGCTACGTCATCGTGCTCGGTGGTGATAGTGATAATTATAATCGAAATAGTTTTCCGTTGAAATTTCAACGTATGAAATTGAAGATTTTATAATCACGCGCGCAACCAGTGACATATGCCACTCTTCCGTTTATGCAGTAACACTGTAAGCGTTACGAAGTGTCATGCATAAGAATCACAGCATTCCCAGCACACACAAGAACACATAGGCCAGACCTATATACCTGTTAATATATATGTACGGCGTTATTGAGCAATTCTGCGTTAAAACTGCAGGAGCAGTGAAATGCGATTCATATGGCAATTAATCAACTCATCAGGTCATGTCTTTTGTACGTTTTTGTGTGGCCAGGAGGGAGGGTCACTTTTCGCCAGGCTCTCCTTGTCTTTACGTCCCGAGAGCTTCATCCACTCGAGGAGAAGACAAGATGAAAGCAACACTTGTCAGAGGCCTCACTTCTGTTCCAACTGCACGAAACTGTTCCACAACAGCGCGGCACGGAAGTGTACTGACAGTCGCGATAGTAACGGGCTACTGGCGGCCGGGGTTCGATTCCGAACGGGGCCAAGAAATGTTTATTTTCTCCACAGCGTCCAGACCGGCTCTGGGGCCCACCTAGCCCCGGGGGTATAGCGGCCATGGCGTCAAGCTGACCACTCTCCTCCGTCCAGTTCTGAGGTCAAGAATTGGTGGAGTTATGCCTCCATTCCCCCACATGTCTTGATGGCGTGATGCTTGACATTCTTTTCAATAACAGTGTATTGGCATCGCTCTCAGGGCCACGGCATCAAAAAGCAAGTCACAAAGAATACCCTCTTCTGGCATTTGAGAACAAGTTCAATACCGACGTTTCAAATGAACGACTGCTTCCATTTTCAGGGTCGAAGATAAAGCCAAAATACTCCTTGTCGCTTACGTCTTTCTGGTTGTTTGACATGCCTCAGTCCTGAAATTCAAGGCATCACATCCCTCCGAAACGTCGGTAAACTTCAACGAGATTAAATGGCGTCACATTCCGGAAGAACAATTTTCATAGTCACCGCCCGTAAGATCCTCAAATCCATCAAAATGAGTCAGTTTTTTGGATTGATGATTCCATGCAAGAGAGGACTATGGGGGCGACACAAAATATGTGTCTCGTCCTCGCTATGTTATCTGTCTCTTTCTTCCATACTCTTCGTTGTATCCTTTGTTTTCTTCTCATACACCTTCACGCTCTTCTCGTCCTCCATTTCCAGTTTCTTTACACCTCCCTTTCCTTCATTTTCTGTTTCATATCCATCTTCTTCTCCATTCTCTGTTTCTTTACAACTTCTCCCTCCTCTCCATTTTATGTTTCTTTACACTTTATTCTTCCTCTCAATTTTCTGTTTCATATACACACTGTTCCTCTTCTTATGTTTTTCTTTCGTCTTTCTCAGAGTCCTGACTCACACGGCTGCGCGCTGAGAGAGATAGTCACTTCCGGACACCTGCTCTGCTCTAGTGAGTACCACTCCTCCATATTCGGTAGGTCCAGGGTTCAAACCTCAACCTGAAAGTCAGCTACCCTGACTGAGACTGTGTTTTACCCTAGTCCCTCCAGGTAGGCCACGGCTCTCACTGCCACAGGCTAACCAATTCGTTACTAAGAGAATAGTTTTTCATTCAGTTCCATGTAGTATGATCTGCTAAGAACGTCATTAAATAAGCTTCGAATTAACACGGGCCCTGCAGAAAACACGTCACGTCTCCCCTACAAGGCCCAGCCGGTTAATGCTGTTTAGGGAAACAGTCGCTGTTTATTGTGAGAACCATACGGAACACACAAATACACTCTGTGGGTAGAATGTAGAGTTTTAGTGTGTTAAAGTAAGTGGTGCATATACAACCAGTGGGCCTTAAAAAGTTAAAAGCCTATTGAATTAGATTGGCCAAATGCTAGGAATTCGAGTGGAAAGAAGATAAAAAGAGAAAATAAATCCAAATCAATTGAACCACGAAATAGGTCAAGGTACTAATCATTCTACAAGAAAATTGTAACCCAAGAAAGTATGAATTTCAAGGAATTTGCTATTTCCCATTCAGATATGTAGGTTGATCCATATGTCTCTATTCTGTTGGGAGAACTGAAAACGTTCTACCCTGAAGAGGTATATTTTCTGGGATATAACTCCGTATAGTCCGTTCATATTTGACAGAGCTCCGAATATGTTTGCTACCAACTTCACACTACATACGTGCTTGGCTTATTATTCGACCCTAGAGACGGAGGTGATATTACCTCCGAAACGTCAGTTGGCTTTCAACGGAATAGACGCATTATGTCCCAGAAGATAGAACTTGTCATAACCACTGGTGTGTGAACCTCCACTCCTACTAGATGTACCCAGATTTATATGTATGTAGCCGACATTGTCTACCGTATCTACCTACACACACACACACACACACACCGAGACTGAACGCACTGGCCTACAGGGTGGAGCACTCTAGGCTTACATTCGAAAGCTTCACGTGGCAGAGGAAATTCTGCGGTTTCTCATCGTTTTCTCCAGTCCCTCCAGACAAATTTCATGACATTTCCGTGAGTAGGCCACGACTGCTTTCTTCCAAATCATTTTCAATTGATCACGCATCATCGTCGTCGTAACATTAGATGCTGGCACGTATAGGCATTTACAGCGTCGTTAGATAGCCCAGAAGAAGATATACACGTACCTCGAGTAGAAACCCCTCAAACTAACGGAGCTGACTTCTTGAGAACCCGCCAGTCGCTCAGCTACTCAAGAATTTCCCAAATATTTTAAGGAACCCGAAGGTTCATTACCGTGTTACAGCCCTCACCTGGTCCCTATCCAATCTAGTCCATACCACCCCATTCTATTTCTCTAAAATTGTTTTTAATATTATCCTCCCAACTAGGTAGGCCTTCCTAGCGGTCCTTCCTGGCTTACCTACCAAATCCCTGTCTGCGTTTCTCTTCTCACTGATGTGTGCTACATGCCATGCTCATTTCTTCCTCTTTCATTTGCCCATTCATTTATCAACCGCTCTACAGCCCTTTGCTGGGCCCTGGCCTGTTCTTCAGTTTCGTAATCCTGTACATAATCAGTAGAACTCCTTGGACGGGGGATCAGTCCGTCGCAAAGCCTCTACCTGCACACAGGTTAACATAAACACAGAAATCCATACCTTGAGTGGGATTTGAACCCACGACCCGAGAGTTCGAGTGGGTGAAAACAGTTCATGCGTCAGAATGCGCGACTACTGTGATCGCTTTCTTGAGTTATGAAGCTCCTCATTATGTAATGTTCTCCATTCTCCTGTTATTTCACCCCTCTTCGTTTCAAACCACCGAAACTTGGCACCTTCTGGTCGGTCTGAAAGGGATGTGCGTGGGTGGCAGAGACCCTAGACCTAGCAAGTTAATGTTGTCACAGTTCAGTAACCGGTGTTTAGATTTCAAGGCAAGTCGTGTAATTCTGCTTATCAAGGAAACAGGAGAAAGTGAGACCCCGCCGAGCAATTGGAGCGAGACATAAGTCGCCCAAGCTTGATTCCTCCTTGGGCCAGGCCGCCCGTTGGATGTGCCCAAGCCAGAGTGCTAAATCATGTCCGCAGCCATCCCACATGCGAATCGCGCGCTGCGTGACCTCGCGATAACGCGGCCATTCCGGTCCAAAAGAACCATGAGACATATGTATGGTGAAACTGTCCTGTGAGCTATGTACTAACACCGCTATTTATACTGCAATGCCCCAGAAGTTGAACCAAAGTTACCACTGTTACATGAAGGTGTATAGAGGCGTGGAGGGTCTTAACGTCGGCACTTGGTTTAGTAAATGTAAAGTCCAGATTACACGCTAGAAGACTAGGGCATTAATATTTACCTACTTTCCTTGTTTTGAAAACAAAAATATAAGTAGGCTTATGATATAACCTTGCTGTCTGTGTGTCTGTGTCTAGCCCTAAATTAAGAATCATATTACGGGCCACTGGTTGATGAACACATTCGGCAAAGTTCACTGATTTCTGGAATTTGTGTTGAGAGTTGAGCTTAGAAATCGGGTTGCGGAACAGTTTAGAGGTTAGGTCTTCACTAATCTCTAACCTTCACAACTGAGCTTCAAAGGGAGCAGCATGGCGAGGTAAGTGCGCCCAGTCGCTGTTTATTGTGAGAACCATATGCAGCACACAAATACATTCTGTGGGCAGAAAACTCATACCGTATCTCACAGGAAACACATTACGTCTCCGCTACAAAACCCAAACCGGTTAATGCTGTTTAGGGAAACAGTCGCTGTTTATTGTGAGAACCATACGGAACACACAAATACACTCTGTGGGCAGAAAACTCAGTCCATACCTCACAGGAAACACGTTACGTCTCTGCTATAAAGCCCAACGGGTTAATGCTGTTTAGGGAAACAGTCCCTGTTTATTGCGAGAACCATACGGAACACACAAATACACTCCGTGAGTAGACTGTAGAGTTTTTAATGTTAAAGTAGGTGGTACATATAATTACCACTTTAAATGGTTAAGAGTAAAACTGTTGCAGTGTGCGTTTTAAAGCCAGGAGAGACAATCACTTGTGAGCTAGTTGCTCCGGGCAATGCGTGACGTAGTACCGCCATGCAGATCGGGGCGCGTGTCGCCTGCCGGTCGGCTTGCATCCAATTTGCATGCAAAACAAATTCCTGTTTGAAATTCGATCAGCTCCAGCTCACCACAAATGCCCCGGTTGAATGAAGTCTTCAAGACAATACAGGTACTCCTTCGCCATCACAGTATTTGAAACTGATATGGATTGTCATTCGCGGCAGCGCAGTTGGTTGAGGCACTAAGCCTATAATAAAAATGAGTACCAAGAATCTTTCTGGGGTTAAAGGGCGGCCGGCGCATAAGGCTGACAACCTGACCAGCATCTGTGAGCCGATTGTCTAGAGAAAATATAGGAGCCTCGACGTCTCACAACCCTACGGGACTTCACGGCCTGTAACAGAGATAGGTTTACGTTTCTTTATGTATTGCCCTTTCGGTAACAAGAATTTAGATTAGTTATCAGAAATGTGTTCCACATAAGACGCTTGTAGTGCGTGGAAGTGAAAGCTGGCCCACTCACAAGGAAAGATGAGAATGTGCTCCGAATTTTTGAAAGAAGGACATTAAGAAAACTTTATGGCCCAATTAAGGAAAATGGTGTATGGAGATCAAGCTGTAACCATGAACTGTATAAATTATATAACGTACCAGATACAGTGAAAGTGATCAAAGTAGGGCGGTTGAGGTAGTTTGGATACGTTTTGAGAATGCAGGAGCAGAAGCCTATGTAAACCAGAGCATCTGCCAAGTGGCTGGATTCAGCTGAAGAAGATCTGAAGACAACGGGAATTCGAAATTGGAGACTAGAGTCACAGGATCGAGTCCAAGGGAGGGCAATCGCGAAAGCGGCCAAGGTTCCTCATGGACTGCAGCGTCCGCACAACAATAAAAAAAATAATAACAACAATAATAATAATAATTACAGAGGTCAGGTAGATATATACGAACCAATCTAGACTCTGCTCTCTTCTCCCCTGAAGGTGGAGGCAGCAGGTTCCTTCGAAACATCGATAAAAATCTATTAATCTACATAGTGTGACAGGATGTCCAAGGAGGAAAGGTCAGTATTCTGAGAGGTCACCGTAGTGGTCATTCTGAAAAAGACAGTATATATGTAGATGTGTCCTATTCCGAACGGTTTCCGAGATAGAGCTATTTCACTGCACAGTACACTGTACACTGTACAGACGAGCAACACGCCATGTCCTCACACGAGTTGCACCGAGATAGAGCTATTTCACTGCACAGTACACTGTACACTGTACAGACGAGCAACACGCCATGTCCTCACACGAGCTGCACCGAGATAGAGCTATTTCACTGCACAGTACACTGTACACTGTACAGACGAGCAGCACGCCATGTCCTCACACGAGTTGCACCGAGATATAGCTATTTCACTGTAGAGTACACTGTACACTGTACAGACGAGCAACACGCCATGTCCTCACACGAGATGCAAAGTGTATTGACNTTTCTACCAGCCTCTATATCCTACCGGTATTGGTGCTTACCATCAGTCCCGCCCAGCCAGCGAGACCGGCTCTACTAGCTGAGAGGTATCTATAATGCTTCCCCCATCTACCAGAGGTATCAGTGACTGCTGTTGGGCGGGAAACGCCCGCAATTTTGGCTCAGTGACCTCCTTTGGAGGTATGAGGTTCTTTTTACGTGCCGTAAAGCTACGACACGGGACCCACAACTTAAAGTCCCTCCCGGAGGACTAGTTCCCTGAATTTTTCCGCCCTTAAAAATTCGACGACCTCCGCCGGGTATTTGAACCCGCGTACTACGAGTCATGAGGTGGGAACGTTACCTCTAGACTACGGAGGCCGCTTAAACTGTACTAACTTTGCCACTTGCACAATAAATACCGGTATTGGAAACAGTACGTAATA